CTTGAACTGAAAATTGCCATCAACTTCCATGGGATATCTATAGTAGATTTTCGTCACACGTTTTGTGTCATGCACCCCAATGGCGTGGGCGACAAAATTCTTCAGCGCCACTAAAGTCCTCACATCTCGCGGCATTGGTATGAACAGCGGCTAGTTAGAACAAAACACAACTGACCCATTATGGTCTGCCGTGATTTCACCCTCATAATGGATTGATAATAACGGCGGCTCAGACATCTTAATTACTCAAAAACGTAAATCTATTAATCAAATATGGTAACAAAAAAGAAGCGTTAAAAAACTGGAAAACTTAAAGAATATGCCAAGAAGAGGTGAAGTAGTAGTGAGTGAAGTGATAGAGTGAGTTGTGTGTGGTAACTGAGCTTGGATGACTCTCTATTTATAGGCAAAATATGGTCACAGTTCGCCTAGACATTGGGCGAACTGTGACCACTCTGACATTCGTACTCTGGAGCATGCAAAAGTGATCATAGTTCGCCTAGTGTCTCGGCGAACTGTGACCATGGTTTCAGTTCGCCCAGTTTTGCGGCGAACTGAGACCACTGCAGCAAAAAATTGTTGCACAGTGATAAATAATATGTGGATATTTTTTTTTGGAAAAATAATAAAATCTTTTATTTTATTATAGAAAATTTTCCGATTAAAAAGAGAAAACTTTTGAGTATTATGTAAATTTAAGAATTATGCAACCACACAAGTATAGATGATCAAATCACAAAACTTGAATGAAGCAACTAATGTCATTGTTCACAGAATCCTTTCATGTATTATGCATAAATGATAAATTGGAATATATAAAATAAAAGGTCATATTAGTTTGTTAAATCCAATAATTTATATTAAATTAAAATTAGGCTAAAGGACATTTATGTCCTGACGTTTCAAAAATTGTACAAATTCACCCTGACTTTTGTGAAATACTTAATAACCCCTCACCTTCGAAAAAACAGTACAATTATGTCCTTCTGTTAGTTTGACTCGGCTAAAAAAAACAAAAGTTGCTTATGTAGCTACTCAAAAACCATTTGTGATTTTTCTTTTCCATTATGTGAGTGATTTTATAAGAAATTTTATTGAAAGTTTTTGTTTCTTTTAGCCGAGTCAAACTCACAAAGGGGCATAATTGTACTATTTTTTTGAAGGTTAAGGATTATTAAATATTTCACAAAAGTCAAAAAAAAATTTGTACAATTTTTTAAAAGTTAGGAACATAAGTGTATTTTTCTCTTAAAATTATATTATTTTAGTGTCCCAAATTTAAAAAATGAAATAAGTTATTCCGAATCCTTGTTTGTGTTAAATGAGACCTAACACCTTGAATCAAGTGCCATAATTTCCAACAAGTTGGAGTTGGTAGAATAGTAGAGAAATAAAATGCTTAATCAGGTCGGCACTCTGCTTTTTTATTGAACACCAAAGGCAAAGCTTTAAAATTATCTCTTCCAATTAGGATTGCTGTGCATGGCACCCTCGTTTCGAAAGTGTAAGAACTGAGAAGGGTTTGCAACTTTGCATCCCATTGAGAAGCTAAATTCCAAAAGAATATGATGTTCAAGAAATTTACATCGGCAATGGCAGTTACAAGGTATGCCAAATTCACTTCCAACATTCCACTTCCTTTATCCAACATTCTCCTTTACCTGCTTTCAACAACTTTTCTGCCTTTCATTCTCATGCTACTCTTGATGATGCTGTTGCCTCTTTCATTACCCTTCTCAATAACCCCCATTTGCCCTCTCTTATTCAATTCAACAAGATTTTAGGATCTCTTGTTATGATCAAACAATACCACACTGCTGTTTCCCTTTTTCAACTAATGCATTTTAGGGCTTTCACTCCTTCCTTGGTTACTCTGAACATCTTGATCAATTGTTTCTGCCATTTGGGTGATATGGATTCTGCTTTCTCTGCATTGACCAAGATTGTCAAGTTAGGTTATCAATTCGATGTCTTTACTTTGAACACCCTAATGAAAGGGTTCTGTATAAACAACAAGGTTAGGGAAGCTCTGGAGTTTCATGATAAGGTAAAAGCTCTTGGATTTCAGCTTGATGAGGTCACTTATGGGACCTTAATCAATGGGATTTGTAAGACAGGTCGGACAAGAGTGGCCATGGAATTGCTGCAAAAGCTAGAGAATCAACCCGTTAAGCCCAACGTAGTAATGTACAATACTGTCATTGATGGGTTGTGTAAAGATGGGCTTGTGGACGAGGCTGAGAAGTTATTTTCCAAGATGATTGCTATGGGAATATCTCCCAATGTTATCAATTACAGTGCCCTTATTCACGGTTTTTGTTGTGCAAGTCAATTAGAAGAAGCTACTCGATTGTTGAATGAAATGGTTAAAAGCAATATCAAGCCAAATATATATACCTTTACTATATTAATTGATGCTTTATGTAAAGAAGGCAGAGCAGCAGAAGCCCAGAAAATGTTTGATATGTTGTTGGAAAGAGGCCATAAGCCTTCTGTTGTCACTTACAATTCTTCAATTGATGGATACTTTCTAGTCAATAAAGTGAATGAGGCAGCAAGGTTGTTTGACAAAATGATCAAAGCAGGTTTGGCGTCCAGTTTTCAAAGTTATAGCATCATGATTAATGGATATTGCAAGAATAAGATGGTGGATCAGGCAATCACTCTCCTTAAATAAATGCGCTGCAAAAGTTTAGTTCCCAATATTGTAACTTATAATTCCCTTATTGATGGATTATGCAAATCAGGGAGAATATCATGTGCACAGGATCTTCTCGTTGAAATGCACGAAAGTGGACAATCCCCTAATTTAGTCACTTACTCTATGCTGTTGGATGCTTTATGTAAAATCCAACATCTTGATGAAGCAATTGCACTATTTCAGAAAATTATTGACAAAGGGTGTCGTCCAAATGCTTACATGTGCAGTATTCTTTTGAATGGTTTGTGCAAATGTGGAAGATTAAGGACAGCAAGAGAGTTTTTTGAGCATCTTTTGGTCAACAATTATTGTCTAAATGTTGTGACCTATAATATTATGATAAGTGGGCTTGCTAAAGAGGGCTCAATTGATGAAGCAGCGGCCTTATTTTCGAAGATGAAAGGAAATGGTTGTCTTCCTGATGCTGTAAGTTATGAAACAATTATCCGAGGTCTTCTTGCTAGAAATAAGAATGAGCAAGCAGTAAACCTTCTCCATGAAATGATCAGTGAAGGTCTACTGACGAACAATAGTGAAAAGGTGAGATGAACAGTTTTCAAAGTTCAATGAAACAGAATACATTATACCCACCCGTTGCTTCTGACTATTTTTTTTTTCACTTTTTTATTTAGGATTCCAAGTTTATGACTCCCTGTGAGGTGCGACAGATTCTTGAATGGGAAACCTTCTCCTCTAACCAGACAAAGAATGTCGATTGATGTGTAAACTTGAGTGAGATGAATTGTTTCAAATGATCAGTAAAGGTCTACTAATGAACGATAGCAACAAGGTGAGATGAACTGTTTCAAATTTAAGTGCCACTTGAATACATTATTCGTACCATCTTCATTATGTGGAATTGCTAGTGGTTTCAGTTTTATCATATTACAAACGAAGTTGACAATGATGAAGTCTTGTGTATATTCATCTCTTAACTTGAACTCCTTGTTACTTTCAGCTATTGAAAGTAAATAAATACATTTCTGTTTTCTTTAACCCATGTTTTCGTGCTTTCTTTATAAAACACATATGTTAGTTGCATCATCAACAATGCTGTAGATGTTTGAAAGTAGTGTGAATTGTTGCTTGAGATGACTGCTGCTCTGTGGTCACTGTTTTCGCAAGGGCTGCTGTTATTTTTCACTGGTTACAAACTTACAGGGTTTGGGATACTTATCAAGAGAAACTAAAGAGCATGCATGCATAGTAACTAGCTGAAATTTAATTCTAATGGTACTATAGAAGATTTGGAAATTAATTTAATTTCATAGTAAAGGTAAATTCCTGCATTAGTACGGCTTTGTCAATTGGTGTAAACCAAGTTATTGTTGGTTCTAGTTCTGAAATATTGTAGATTCATACATGGTGTTCGGCTGATTTGGTTTTACAATCTGCATAGATAGGTTTCCCGTTGTTTCCTACTTGTACCATATTTGTGATTGGTATGAGCTGCTTCTAACTGTAATTTTTGTTCTCTTTTTAATTTAGGTTTTCAACTCTATGACTCCCTCTGAGGTTGGACAGATTCTTGAATGGGAATCCCTCTTTTCCAACCAGACAGTGTCAAGTGATGTGAAAGCTTACGGATATGGATAAGTAGTCTTTGGTAATTTGATATTGGCTATCGTATTCTCTTGAAAGCTGAGTGAAGAGTGAAGACCCACGAATGCTAGCTTGGAAGTTGTTTATTTCTTGAGTTTCAGTGTTTCGATGATTTTATTTTCTTTTGAAACATCCAGGATTGCATAGAATCTTCAACCTTATGTAAACATTCCTATTACTTCTTGTCACTATAGTAAATTGGGATATTTTTATGATGGATGAAGGCAGCATAGGCAATATGTATATTTGTTGACATTAACATTCCAACTACAGTTCTGGTTAATCTTGAATGAGTAATACGTGAGAAATGAATCAAACATATCACCTTGTTTTAATAGAATCTTAATAGTGTGGAGTACAGACAGAAAATGCTGCATTCCTATGGAAAATCTTCTGATGTCCTTCTCACTTCCTTGCTTGATGTAAGATTTAAGAGAGGAAGTAGTCTCTTGCTCGTGTAATGAAACCGTTAATTCAAAGTATGGAAAACCTTTCTGTATATTTGGCTTAAACTATGCTGATTTTTTTAGGAGGTTATGTAAAATAGTATGATACTCATCATTTCAGAATCTGTCATGCATATAGTAAGCAGTGTCAATGTATAACGAAAATCTCAGAATTAATGTTTTACTTTTACAGAGTAATTTCGGAACATTCTGGTATGTGTCTATGTTAAAACAAAAAAAAATTACTTGTGCGGTGAGGGGTAGATGGAACACGCGACCTTTAGATCTTCAGTCTGACGCTCTCCCAACTGAACTACCCCACTCTGAAATTAGTTTTAATTTAATTCAATATGTACCTTTAAAGTCATAACTGATCTATTAACCCAATTACATTATCTAAACAAGGTGAAATTATTCTTTGAACAATTTCCTTTCTCAGCATAGCCGAATCAGTGGCGATAGAAAACATCATTATTTGATGCACATAACCAACTCTACTTGAATAATATACCAAAGTTGTTATTCTATCACTAGCCAGTTACCTACTATTTGATATTGGTCACGTGGTATATAAGAAGTCGATTAAATAGTCATTTTTACATTTATTTGCGGCATATATTATACAAAGATGGATTAATATATCAACTTAAAATTCAATATTTAGTTTGTAAAATAAATTTCAAATGAACAATGCTACAAAACTAGCATTAGGAAACCATTAGAGAGCCAATAACTAAGTTATCATCCAAAATTTATAAGAGTTATTATCCGCAATTCATATATACAAGATTAAGTTATCATCCAAAATTTATATGAATTATCATCCGTAACTATGTGTTAGCTCCCTATTGGTCATAATATATTGGCTCCCTAGCCTTTTTCATTTCGAATATATAGATTTTCTATAGTACAAGAATTTAATTAGACTTAGACCCTCTCCAACAATGATTATAATATTTCATCAAATTTTGCAAAAATGAGACTTCCAAGTTCATCACTACCCAGAAAACAAATGTCCTGCAACAAGATCCCTTTGTTGATTAACTGCAGCATGGATAAAATTTAAATCCGAAATTAGTACAATTCAAATAACTCATGAGCTACAACTACCTAATAAGTTACATCGGTAGTAACACCAAAACTAACTACAAAATTTCCTAGGAACATGTGAAGCCTTGAAATCATAAATTAAAGCATACCCTTATCTCTGAAAAATCATACTCCACTCAAATCGTATTCAACTAACACTACTAGTAGACAGACACATGATGGTAAACTGACTACTGAAAATGCTCAATGTCTCATAAGTCAAATTGTGTTCTTCAAATTAACTTCATCTTCAGGAAAACCAAGGGAAATTGATAATCAAGTATGCTAATGACTTCAAATGTCTCCTAGAAGCATCTTCAATGTCTCGTAAGTCATAAAGACAATGCCGACTCCAGGAACAACCTTGTAATATTCAGGCAAAATCCCTCTGTACAGACCTCGCAGCCCTTCATTTTGAACTATGCGCCTAAATGTCCCAAACAAACCACTGTTATAAACACGAGCTCGACCACCAGCACCCTCTAACTGCATCCTCCGTCTTACAAGATCTAAAGGAAATGTTGCTGAATGTTGCAAAGAGACCATTACATACACATGGTTAGTGACTTAGTTCCCAGAAAGTATCATACGAAATGCACAGTATCTTATCTAATTAATTACTTTTAAAACAAATTCCTCCTTTTCAAAATCATCAAGCAAGACATGAGCAATGAAAACACTTTCTTTGAAGAAATCCATCAAGAAAATGTCAGCTCGCATCAAAAAATGAGTTTAACGAAACAATATTTAGGCTGACATTTTCTTGTTAAATTCATGATATTGCAAATAGCTACAACTAACAAGTACCCACCTGTTGATGATGCAATTCCTGAAAGACTCCCACAAGCAAGACTGACCATGACAGTAGAATCATCGGGCCTAAATTTCAAAATGACAAACAAAATATTTGAAGAACCAGATACAGTGAGCATAAAGTACTACTTAATTCCTTTCAAGTATAGATGCTCACCTTCTGGACTTCCAAAAAGAACGTAAGGCCTCATAAACAGAAAAACTAATAGCAATATTGGGTCCAACACCCTGCATCACACAAAAGAATTAGTTGTGACTATTATTTGAAGAAATCAAGATGGCAGATATCCCAAAAAGAAAGAAGTGAAAATGCAGCACCACCCTACCAGCAATGTTGCTCCAAGGCCCTTGTACAGACCAAAGAAACCTTCTTCCCTACAAATGGTACTGAAAGCATGTGAGATGCCCCTATAGTATACATCACTTCTCTGCAAAGGAACATAATATAAGAATATCAACAAACAAGCTGCAAAGGCAAACGGAATATCAAGATGAGCAGGATCTAACAATTCTCAACTCTGAGAAGTTGCTACAACACCTGTGCTGCAAGACGCGTCCTCACAAGATCCAAAGGATATGTGGCAGAAGCAGCTGTTATACCTGCTAAACCACCACCCACAAAATGCACAAAGAGGTTTTTACTAGTGTTTCCGCTATGATTCTCACCAATCAGTGACTGTAATAGCTGCAAAAAGACAACACAGACAACATTAATTCAAGCCTTAAGAATTTACAAATAGCTTCTGAATAACTTGCATTATAGAGAGGACATAAGAGATTACATTCTTGTAGTGTTCGTAGGCATAGAAGTTGACTGCAGAATATGGGAGACGATGAACAATGGTAACCATATTGCCTTTCCAAAATGCTCTAAATCCTTCTTCATTGACAATACGGGAAGCTTCAAACCATATGCTAGGCTTGCTCAATGCTGCCACATCAGAATGCATACCTTGTACCTGTCAGGGAAAAAGAGAACTTCATCACATTACAAGAGGAGGCATAATCGGGTTACATCTCATCGACATAATGCTTTAATCACCCTTGAATCAAGATAGTGGAGCTCACAAATAATAAAAAAATTACAAATCCAAAGGTGATTAAAATATTACTTTATCACTTTAACACCCTCCTCACTCTAGAGGATCTTTTTCCCCTTCAAATTATCCAGACCAAATATGCAACAAAATGTGAGAGTTAACCTTACACTTTATGCAAGTTAAGAAGTGTTGAATATAAAACTGATAAGAGAGAGGAAAAGACAAGCCTATGTTGTATGATGATTTTACTTTCTATATACAACAACAAAGCCTTGTCCCACTGGATGGGTCGGCCGATGCCATTGAGCTCTGTCATGTATCATGTCTACAGAGTAATCGTTTACATGAGTAACCTTTTACATGTAGATCTCATTTGACCACCTCATGGATGGTCTTCTTAAGTCTTCCTATACCTTTCACCCATTGTCCAACTTCCATCTCATCCACCCTCCTAACCGGTCTGTTCACCTGAGACGCGATTCTACATCTTTTCAAATGTGATGGTTATCTCTATACGTAAGTTTCTAAACACGTATGTTGCCTTCATTGAAGCATTTGGATGCACCCCTTCACCAAACTTGAGTAACACTAAGATACTATGCACCCCTATAATGCATAATGATGTGTGATATCTTATTTCTCAATTTACATTTATTGACAGCATAAGAACTAAACTCTGGACTTGATAAACAAGTAAAATAAAAGTTTGTATATAAAATAAATAAATAAATAAATAAATAAAAGAAAAAAAAGAAACCTGAAAAAGGATAGTGAGGCGGGCAAGAGGTGCAGTGCAGGTTTTGCTGAAAGCACCGGCGATGCCGCCAGCAAGAAGCTGATGAACGCTTCCTATCTGCGATTTCTGCCGCTGTTGCTGCTGCTGCTGGTTCCGGCGATTATTGTGCGGCAGAAACTTAGCTGCCCCGCCGCCATCGACTACGGTACCGTGGGCGGCGTTAAGTGCTTTCTGGCCACCTTCTACAACTATCCCAACTCGAGCGTCCATCATTGAACGAAATGGAACTCTGAAAAGTTAAAAGCTCAAAAGATTAACCTTTAGCTTGGATTCCGTTGTTGTGGTTACATGTAAGTAGGTGGAAGAGGGGGTTGAATTGGGGACGGTGAAGAAGAAGGACATGGATGAAGAGGGAGAATTTTGGGATGAAGATTGAAAGGATTGGAGTTTGAAGTATGAAATGCAGAATGGGGAATGTAGGGTTTATGATTTGGGGTTTGGGTTTGGGAATGGGGACGGTGGGTAACTACGTATCCGAATATTACGTTACGGGGAGTCGGTGATTTCTCTCATTCTCTGCTCAGATTTTTTTATTCGAAACATCGTCACGTCAATAATATAAAATTCGCTTAATTCAATTTTTTAATAGTAATGCTACACATCCAAGCAATTTGATCAACCAAGCTCATCCAAGTATTTTTTCCCCACTCTCACCACACACGCGCGTCTCCATCACGCGTTTCTTCTTCTTCTTCTTCTTCTTCTTCTTCTGCAACTGCAATTGCAACTGCAACTGCAACGCCTCTCCTCCTTCTTCTTGTGCAACGCCTCCATCTCCTTCTCCTTGCTGCTGCCGTCGTCATCGTCGTT